GTTATGTGTCTGTGCGTATATATATATATATATATATATATACGTATGGCACGTTACCCAATCCTAGATTCTTGGCAATATTCTACTCTTTATCTACTATATCGTAACACCATGCTGTAACTTGCAGGCGCCGAGTTAATTGTTGCCGAAGCCAAAGAAGACCTTCTAGGCAAATTGCATGTCATATTGGAACCGTTTCTACTCCGACGCCTGAAGACGGATGTTGCGTACTCCATCCCTCCGAAAAAAGAAATTGTTCTTTCGGCGGCAATGACCGCTCGACAATGTGAGTCGGGTGATCAACCGGTGTTAGCTATATTCACTTCAGTGTATCATTTCTGTCGGATCGCTGTATTTGTTTGCATTCATTGTGTTGATGTGTATTCTGAAGTATAGGATTCCACTGTTGAGGGTATCGATAATCTCTGATGGTAGTACGATAATTGAATTACATGTGCAAAGGTATATGTTATAGTGTGTTCGGGTTACATGTGTTAGTGTGTACACGCCAGTGTGTTGCTATGGTTATAGCAGCTCACAATGACCTATAGTATGCTGGTGATAAAGCGTTTATTTGGTGTTTATCTAACGGTCTTTCCAGATGGCTCTTTAGCTTTCTGCTGGTTTTCTCGTATCATGTTTCTACTACAACATCAATCTCGACGCAAGGGCCTGTGTAATATCTTCCCCACAGATACTCGCATACTATTATATTATCATTGTCTGCTTTTAATGTAATGAGCACGCACATATACTCTCCTAATTGTATACTTAGACGCCGTTTCGTATTCAATCACCTGTGGTCGTGAACATGCACAACAACACCTTTATATTATACTTAACCTTTATATACTTAATAGCATACGCATTTAATCCCTTCGTGCAGTGAACATGTACAAATATACCCTCGAAAAGAACGTAGCCGCCGTACTGGCCGCATCTCGACCGGACGAGGCGAAAGCAGAGTCGATATTATCAGACAAATCAGACAAATCAGACAAATTGAACAATGTAGAAAATATCAATAGCCTCAGCTCCAGGAAACCATCCAGGAAAGGCGTCACCAAGAGGTCGTACAAAGAACTCACGGATACAGAGTTCTTCAAAAACGTGACCGGCGATGGACTTGGCAACGACGGCTATATAGCGCCTGTAGATGCAGAATCGCTCGTGGAACCGGTCCTAGGACAAGATAATCGGGTGACTAATATCAAGATGAACAACGTGGTCATGCAGCTGAGGAAGGTAGTCAACCATCCGTACCTGCTGGACTATCCTCTCACAGATCAGGGTGAGTTCAGGATAGACGAGGACCTGGTGCGGTCGTGTGGCAAGCTGATGATGCTCGATCGTTTGCTGCCGGCCCTTAAAAAACGAGGGCACCGAGTGCTGATCTTCTCACAGGTGTGTGCGGATGTGTATAATATGCATTTATATGCTATATATATATGTGTGTGTGTGTGTATTTAAGTGTCTTTGTGTATGTATGTGTCTGTGTGCGTCTGTGTGTCTGCATTATATATATATATATATAATATATATATATGTGTGTGTGTGTGTGTGGGTGGGTGGGCGTGTCGAAATGTATGTATCTATGTATCTATGTATATATATGTGTGTGTGTGTGAGTGTGTGTGTGTGTGTGTGTATGTGTATATATATATAAATATATATACTACCTACCTCAAATGCTCTAACCCGTTAAACCCTGTTCATGCGCTCCCGCACTCTTCTATGCCTAGATGACTTCAATGCTGGATATACTCCAGGACTATTGCTACCTACGCGACATACAATACTCTCGCTTGGATGGCTCTACCTCACAAGAAGAGCGTGAAGCAGAGATTAAGGCGTTCAGGAACGATGAAAACCGCTCAGTATTTCTTCTGAGTACACGCGCAGGGGGTCTGGGCATCAATTTAGTATCGGCAGATACGGTGATCATATACGACAGCGATTGGGTATGTACTGGTATCGGGATTGTTATTCAGTGTTGGCTGAGACGGTGGTTGCAGCCGGTAGCGATTGTGGATGGCAATGTTGTCGGTTGATAGGCTCACCAATTGTTATGTCGGCTAACGGGCTTTTCGATTGTTCTGGACAGTATCTATATATATAGGATGTTTTGATATCTGTTTGTATATTTAGGGAGAGAGTGGAAACCTCATCAACTGTTGTGGTGTGTCGGCTATTGGGGTTCATTGCGCTCTCGTTGGGGAGTTGTATAGTCTCTTAGTCTCTATCTTTTTGTTATCTACGACAAGTAAGTGTTTGGGTATTAGGTCTGGGAATCAATCTCTAGGATTTGAAATCACAGTTACATAAACGACAGTCAGCAATTGGGTATGTGAACATTCCTTTGCGGTCGATCAATTGTCCTTGTCGTCGAATTTCATGTCGGGAGACATATGCCGTGCAAGTTCTCACAGTATATACTGCATCATTTCACGGCATACGATACATGTATGAACTAATGTATTGAATGACACAACACTGACCACTTTGATACGATGCACATATGGACTACCGTATTCAATTTCACAGCACTGGCCACTTTGATACGATAAATGTATCAATTAGTGCTTTTAATTCTACAACGCTGACCGCTCTAATACATTACATGTATTATTTTATGGATTTGTTTGCACAACACTGAATACTTCGATACATGATATCTTACGTCTATAAACCCTTACAGAACCCACAGGTGGATTTACAGGCCATGGACCGAGCCCACCGGATAGGGCAGACCAAGCCAGTGCTTGTGTACAGGCTGGTAACAAACGCCACTATTGAGGAGCGAGTCTTTGACAAAGCGCAAACTAAGCGGCGGTTAGAGAAGCTTGTGGTGCACAAAGGTATGCTGTGTTGTGTTTTCGATTTGTGTTATTTTGACCTAAAACCCTAAACTTCTAAACCCTAAAACCCTGCAAAGTGTTGTGACTCGCAGTTATGTGTATGTTCGTATGTGTGCACCTTCGCATAGTGTCAGGAGCGTCTGTGTTCGTGTTTTTTTTGTTTTTGTTTTTTGCGTCAGCCGTAGATTTCGCGGTACGCGGAAGTCGAAAGTCATACGCCAGCACAAGCCATTCACTGACTGGTATCTTTAAATAGCTCATACTTAAAGGTACGACCTTTTACAAGTTCCGGGAAAATGACTATAAGCTTGTTCAAATAGTCCACCAAATAATATTGGCATCTATCTGTTTATTATACCTATCCATAAAGACAATCTAAAAGTGTGAATCAAAATGACTGAAGGTTCATCCGGATAGTTCGCCTAGTGCTAATGATATCTATCTATCTTTCTATTCATATATCCAACTATACAGACAAATTGAAAAGTGTGAGTGAAAATGGCCAAAATTTTATCCGAAAAATTCGTATAATACTATCTGTTTTACCTATCTATCCAGAAATGACCAGTTTAAAGTTTGTTAATATGGCTTTATGATCATCCGAATAATCTGCCCTATACTATTAGCATACATCTGTTTTACTTATCTATCCATACAAGACCAGTTTACGTGTGAGTGAATATGGCTAAATGTTCATCCGAATAATATGCCTAATACTATTGGCATCTATCTTATCTAGCTATCTATATAGATCAGCTCAATGGTGGGTGTGAAAATGCTACAGGTACATCCGGATAATTCGTTTTGTGCTAATTGTACCTTTTCTATCTATCTTTCCATCCATCTATACAGACAAATTCAAAGGCGTAATTGCGAATGGCGAAGCGACGAAGGGAGCCTTGACCATGGATGATATCTTGAGAGTCCTAAACGAGAAGGATCGGGTGCAGGTGTGCGATGACCCCCTGGGCGTCGTATCGGATGCGGACCTGGAGAAGTGGTTGGACCGGAGTGAGGCTGCATTTATACCACCCATTGACCAGAGCGACAATCACAAGGTATTGGCTTGTCGGATATATATCGTATATGAAGTCACAAGGTGCTGCCTTGGGTGGTTGATAACGCAGTGACGGTGTCAAAACGAACTAGCGTAATGCCGTTGTATGATCCTTATTTTATTGCAAACAAGATATAGTGTCAACAAGTCAATATGTGCGAAGTTGAAACTACAGACACTAGTGAATCTCATTCCGAGAGGTTTTCCTTCAAGGCTTCTGAGTAGCGTATTATTGTTGCGCTGGTGGCATACAATAGCTCGATGTACACTTGTGATTTCATCCAACCGTGCTTTATCGTATCACCCGGGGTGGGCAGCGCACGTTTCAGTCGAATCTATGTATGCTTAAGAATTGTCTGTGTACAAGCTGTTGAACCAACACGGTGTAGGTTTGGTACATCCGTTTAATCATCCATTCCAAAGTTTTATTCGAGTCCTCAAAATCACTATCCTTGAGAAGGAGACCTCGGTATATTCCCCACCTTGAGCCTATCTATTCCTCACTAATCGTTTTCTATATATTACATTGTTCATCACTTCTCAGGTCATAGGCATTGAGTCGGCCACGACAAAGTTCCTGGCCGAATGAGCGCATATCCGAAGGAATTAGGCTATTAAACCGATATTATAGTAATTGATACAGCGGCGCTGGCCTCGGTCTTGGTCTTCACATTTAGAACCGAACCCTCTGTAGATTTTTACTATAAAATACCTGCTATTAGAGAGTGGGGAGCATTTAATTTCAGAGTTTAGTGCTTCTGAACCCTTAAGCTGGTAGAGGAGAGAGTGGCCCACACACCCGAGATATATCGTCCTGTGTCAAACCTCTGTGGTACAATTAGCGACTGGTGGAGCAAACCGGTGGACGGAATCCAGCCAGATTAATATAAATTATTGAAAGCATAGCGTAGCGCATATGTAGGCTACGGAATGAAAATTTATTCAATGAACCACTCAGTACATTTCGCTTGACTTTTTTGATCAGGGTGATCGTCATACTCCCAAATTTCTATAGTACAAAATAGAACGTCAAATATTTTGAGCCTCTATAGTCCTTGTTATAGAAATCTCCGGGGGGGGGGGGTCGTGTGTCCATAATGGCGACAAATGCGTTGGCTCTCGGTCATACCACACTGAATTCCCCATGCTCCTGCACAACAAAGCTGGCAAAATGGTCCAACTACATGGTAACAACTCGTCAGGCACGATCTGTATCAACTTCATATGCATTGTAGTAATTTATGAATGTATGAAATAAAATAACGACTTGACATTTCTAACATTGTGCAGGCTGAGCCTGAATTGGTGCAGACATGATTTCGCGATATATATACAGTGTACAGAGAGTAGAACTATTGAGGATGAAAAAATCAAAATATATATATATGTAAAGGTTATTCCATATTCCCAATATTGCCCTAGAATTTATTGTCATATATTTATTCACGTAGCCTCCTACAACGACAGGAGGCTATGTTCAGTCATATGAATATTGTAGAAGGTTCACTTCATATAGTGATATGGAACGGGGGTAGCTAGATGGGTAAACTACAACATGCAGCGCTATGTTCATCTTGTGAACAGAGCGATGCCCTATTGAGTTTAATAAATTGCTCTACTCCGCGTGCTTTTCATAATCAACTTCCGGAATTTCGATGTATAAGTGAACGATAAAAAAGAAATCGTTTTCATTATCCTATATATTCCTTCTTATTTGAAAAGTATCGAAATTTTCTTCTTATTAAAAAGCGAGGTTCTCAAACTCAAACTTACGAAACTCGTGGCCATCGCAATGAATAACGACAATAATAGACGTATTCCGGCTGCCAAACTCAAACAACAAACTCAAGCTGTCGCCGAAGAGATTAGAGATCGAGGATACGACGTACTAGGAACCGGACCGAAGTCACTGTATGGGCTACGGCTGCCCATTACGGGCATCTCGACTCCAGAGCACATTGCTTCCAGTGTAGTTCTAGAAAACCGTGTGAACTGACCCAAAGTAACTTTATATAACACGTTGCACAAGGGTCTGGAGAGGAAAAAATGAAGTGCCCAACTGGTATCAAAATCAACGGGGCGTTGTGACAAAGAATTTGCAGCATGTTCTCACGTGGGCCAACTACTTGGCCTTCTGCATAAAAAAAATAGAGCTTGGCGGTCTTGACGAAAAGAAAGATGATAACCATGAGATGGCAAAAGATACTAAAACCACTTTATTCGACCACCGTAAGGTTCATCCCGATATGGTAAACTTAGCGGTGTCCTCGCTATTGCTGTATACTAGGAATGACTTTACTATGTTTTGAAAATCTTACCAAGTTTATTGAACGGCATAGAACATATAAAAGGCCAATCAGATACAATATATTAAAACCAGATATGTCACCCATGCAATATGTAATGAAATTAGTTTCTTTAAAAGGCATCACGAGCGATTGGATTCATTCAGTCGGTGAAGTTCAAGTTCAACAACGGCTACGCACAACTTATCCAAAGTTTGCTTCGCCCAACTCAAGACACTATCACGAAACTGCGTGTCTCATAAACATATTAGTGAGGTGTCTAAGCACGTGCAGTAGGGGCCAGAAAATGGAGGGATCGAAGCTAGCTAAGAAACTGCACCTTCACACAGCAATGTTAGTAGTGTGTCAGTTTAACTCTAACGGGACTTTTTAAGAATGTCTATGTATATTTGAATATGAGTCTTGCTAAAGAGATCTATAAGTGGGCTGCTACGCTCCTTCAGAGGGGCCAAAGTTTTTTCTAAATATTTATCAAGATTATCACCAACGCAATATACTTCGGACCGGCGTTTACATAAAGGCAAGCTGAATGACGACGCCTTTAGAAAAGTTAAGGTCTCTGTACAATCTGTATTGTGATCTCTGTACAATCTGTATTGTGATGTATCCATCTACAGACGAGATAGTTGATGTGGGAGATGTACTATATTAGATGGTAGATATCAAACTATAGTTTGTTTCAGAGGGGGGGTTGAAAGGTTACGAGCTTAACCACCTCACAGTCTAATGATCCTGAAGGCTATAGTATCAGGGTTTAGTGCACTTCAAAGACTGTTCAAATATATCGTACCCACTAAGTAGCTTGTGACCAAAAGTGTTTGTTATATCATTAAGGTATAAAACCGCACAACCAAGTGGTAAGCCGATCGCAGTCTCTGCCAGTTCTTTCTTACAATAGAAAATATACCAGGTGTTGTGGCATGATCACATCGGGACATGCTCTCACGTTTGCTACAAAACCATCAAAAGACTACCTGAGATTTACCAGCTGAAGCTATATCTACGCTTCTTCAAACTAGCAGACGTACCACCGGACTACAGGTCACTTAGTTGCCCTATTACTCTCGCGAACACAACGCGAGGAAAACCCCGCCTTGGCAAAGTTATGTCAACATGAAGAAATCGTCATTACGCTATGTCGTGTTCTGGGAAAAAAAAACACTCATCAAGCAGAGCCGATTACATCGACCAAAAAGTTGATATATTTCTATATATGGGTACCCGGAAAATAAATAAAACATCTTGGCTGCATACGATCATATGTCGTATTGACCATAATAGCACAAGTGCTTGGAAACATTTACGTATTCAAATGTAATGTGGGTGAATTTAACAAACCCCTTGCGACTGTCACTAGAATGCCAATCTACCAACAACAAAATTTTATAGAAGTCCGGACAACTAAAGCGCACTCCTTAAAACGTACTCACAAGTCACACGAAGTATATGCACCTGTACTATACCCAAACAGAGCCAAGGATCTAGCTGAACGCTTTCATACTGAGTATGACATAGATGTAACAGAGATGACTTGAACGAACATATCTATGACTACCGAACGAAGGTGGTCGACTACCGTCATGTGTACAAATACACTATGATGCGACTTTTTCACGCAACATAAAAGAAGATCGCTTCAGCGTATGTCCTAAACGACGAAGATTCAATCACCTCGAAGCTCCCAGTTCGCAGACATCTGCTGTAAAATTTATGCTCTCTTAAGAGGTCTCTGAACTCGCGCTATAGACAGTCAGATGCTAACACTTCGACCACTACTTCAAATATAGATACAACTAAGTGGATCTATGAGTACCGTAGTTTGACGCCACTCTGCTACAGGCGCTATAGTCACTGTATCGAGGCATATAGATCTTATCGACTCAAATTTACAGAAGCTCTGCAAACAAGAGTACATAAAATGTGAAGCTTGTGATAGCTGGGCAATGCGCAGGGCCATCATTGATCTGGCTACAATAGAAGAGATCGTATGGTATGATGAAATGTATGTGTTTGAAATGCTCAGCGTAACTTCACGTTACAGAGTTTTTAGAGTTTAGGACGTGGAATAAACTGCCCAAAACAATGACAGAAATACACTTACGTATATTTGCCGATCATGACTATCCATTGTTCTTATATCATGGCCATGGCAGCTATTTTATTAAAGATGTTATGTCTTCTTAAAATCATGTCGGCCACACATACGAAAAACGCTCCTTACAAGTCGCAAATACAATGCGCGAAGGAAGTTTGACACAGGGAGTTTAAGTTTCTATTGCGCACCGCAATAAGGAAGAAGGACATTATTGATATTACTGTCACATGTCACAGACAAAGTGTCAATTGAGTGAAACACCGGACTCGGTATCTCGTGTTACTCCGTCGCATTGCTTCCATGATAGATTAAGCGTACTACAACTTCGTGTAGACAGGGTGGCTGAAAAGGCATAGTCACTTGAGTGGCTGGAACAACTAAATAGTTCGTGTATTCTACCATAAGGGAGAAAAGTAATGTCGCACTTTTAAAAGCGCAAGAACGATGATCTTCGGATTAAAAAAAATCATCTTTTAGAAAGGTGGTATTGTAAATATCAGACATGACGTAACTCTGATATAGGTAAGCTGTACCCGTATTTTATAGGGCCATATGCGATTTCTGTCCACGACGAGAAATCTTACACTTTATTGATAGTGTTCAACAATCCTCTTGAACAAAAATTTGTAGTTATTGGATCCAATATTGGAAACTCATACTATAAGACATTGTTTTCGAAAATGCACAACCTCACTTTTGAGAATTTTGGCAACCCAGGTTACCTAAAAAGTAATTATGTACAAAACGTAGCAATAACCTACAAGGCCCGAGCTGTAATTTATGAGAATTTGTCTTCAAAAGTGAATAAGGCAGTGCGTGCCTTAATACCGGAGGACATTCAGTTTCCAGTTTGGGCCAAAGCAGCACTGTGATTCTAGAATAACGCTGCAGCCTCTGTTGGTCAGGTAACATGATGCGACCGTCATGTGAGACATTAAGGGCTGATCCAGAACTGAGGCTGATATACTTCGAAGAGTATTGGAATTTAGACTTTGAGGCCCTCTTGGCTACAAATGTGATAAAGGTGTTTTCGTTTGAATCCGTCACTCAGTGTGAAGATTGGTCTACAATCAAGATTATTTTCGTTGAATACTAAACCCTAAAACCCTTCGCTTGAAGAATTGGTCTGCAATACGATTATTGTACTGGACAGTACATCTCAAGTGCATTGGGCGATGTTTCAGATGTAAAATCATATACACCGAAAATAGCCAAAAACTAAAAGCAATTATAGACTCGAGTAAGATAGGCGTGGGTAATTCAGTACCCCCAGTAGGATCTCTAACTACTACAGATAGCGAAATAAACGTATACGGGTGCATCTAGTATTACGGGTTGTTATGAATGTGGAGCGATGCACCACAGAAAATCGATTGTCGAGTAGTCAAAAAGAAGAAAGCATTGGCTACTGTATGCCAAAAAGAAAAAGAACCGGAGCAGTCGGGTCAGGCTATCACTCGCTCAAGCTTTCAGGAGTACAGGATGCGGAACATGTTGGTGGTATGTGGACGTACATCAGCTCAAATATATCTATGAGCAAGCCCTAGTGGCGACATGAATCAGCGAGACAGCTAAAAAGAGAAAACTAGCATTGATGCCATCAGGGTTTGTTCGAGGGGATATATATATATATATATACAGGTGCAATCCCAGCTCTAATTTCAAAGATGTAGATAAAACGCCTGTGATTGGGTACGAAACGGTATGATGGTGCTTCATATTCGGGTATTGTTATGCTGAGGACAGGACTTTGTTCGCATCCCACGGGAATAGCGTTGTCGGAGGTAGCTTTGAAGACGTGGCAACAACATAACGAGGTGGGTTTTTACTAACGTGGTTTGTTGCTGGTGTGTTATCTTACCTTAAAACGGTACAAATGACAATTGTTATGGAAATGCATCACGAGTTGCGTGCAGTGATAGAAGAAATTGCACTATATGTGAGATTTGCAGTCCCAGTGGATGGTGTTTTGGGTGTCAAACCGCGAAAAGCATCATTTGAACCGTGAGAAGGCTCAGCGTCCTGTTACACTGCCACTGGTCAAAGTTCACATCGCCTGGGTAGAACTGTAGAGTATAGAGTGTAGCTGAAAGTTACGAGACAAAAGGATACAATAGACCTCTTCTCATGTACGGCTATCTCAGCTAGGAAAAGTCTCTAGTCTGAGTGAACCGAACTGAATCTTTATTTGTGTTTTCACTAGACTCGGGATTTACTTGAGTGTTTCACTCACACGCGGGAGTCCCGGTATAGCTTACCGGTTCTACCGCTAATATTTCTGATGACTCTAATATCTGAAATATTCCCATCCTAATTCCAAAACTCAATTTTTGATTATTCTGGGATTTGGGATTTGGATTGGCTTTTTGATAATCTGGTCCCTAGATGCTACAGAACTACCTTACCAGAAGAATTAGGACTTTGGATACACGGAACCAGATACGGCGTGCGATTTCTCGGGTATGTATGTTGTTATGAGTTAACCAAGGATTGTGACAAGCCGGAGAGTGACGCAGATACACGAACCCAGAAAGTTATAAAGGCTACATACGATCGATACAACCCCAAATTCATAGATTGCCGCCGCCGGTCTGTGGCACGAAAAGCAAGGAGCAGTATCGACAGCGTCTTATTGTGGATAATAGGGCTCTAATACATAAGCAGGTGTTGAGAGTGAAGATTTGGGGCGTGAAATGCGTCAGACATCGTATAGCCGACACTTTGGAGCTTGTGGTGTTTAAACATGCATTCAAGGTGCCCGGTGTTGAGCCGAAGTATGCGGACGGATATCCGGCGTGTGCAAAATTGAAGAAGGTTAAGAAGCAACTAGATACAAAAGCCAGATTATATTGCAACAGAGAATGAATATATAGGGAACATCAAAGGGAAGGATTGTATATCGGCGGTGGATCATGTGTATTATTTTTGTCAGGTTGGGGGCCGAACTGTGATCGGAATATAGTACTGGTTTGGTCAATACGAATGTGTTGCGAGGCAATACCAGAGGCATGGGACGAACGCCTCTCGTTTACAATGCTATATCAGAACCTCCGTAACTCGCGTAGACACAAGAGTGCCCCTTTCAGTGACACGTCCCTTTCGCTGATTTCACCGACGCTACGCCCGAAGTTCAACATGTTACCAATGACACATGGGCACAACGCTTAGACCAATTGCAGTATACGATTTTTCCTATGCTGCATAAGATCACGTTAAAATATACGAACAAGTTGACAAAGACCTTAAATCGCTTACATGACCACAACCTGGTCCACTTCGATGGAGGCGATGTAGTGATGGCAGAACGTCGAAAGCGATGCATTCATTGTTCGGCCTATACCTGCTGAAGACTAAGGTAGGCCAGGGTTACGAGTTGACAAACAAAGACTGGTCGACTTCATCCGAATTCAAGGGTAAACCGGTACGGGTCGAACTCTTCGAGTTGGTACACCGCAGTACGGAACCACCGCTTGACGAAGCGTTGTGGGGGCGGTTCTGAGTTTAAACACATCATCAAACACAGCACAAATGATGAGACGGTTAAACTCGAACACCTGGTACGTGGGAAACAACAGAGGCATTTGACGATGCTAAAGATATTGTGGCATACCACAAA